TGTGCATGTGGGGGCATAACCCCACTGTGTCTTTACAGGTGTTGTATGTGTTTGAGCTCTGCTGAGGATCTGTGAGAAAAGCTGCAAAGACTACGTAGGTAAGATGGTGAGGAACCGATGCAGTTTGTCCTCCTCAGTCTAGGTAAGCTTAGGCACCTGATTCTTCTCTAACATCCTCTTTGCACAGGACTTCAGAGGAAACTTCCAATTCTGGGAGGTCTGAACTTTTGTGCATATGCAGCTTATAATTGTATAGGAATAAAGAAGACTTTCCCTGCAATTTCAGATTCTGGTTGCTCCAGGTAGTATTAGGTTTAGCAATGGGAACTGGGAAGCTTATTTCTATTGTGCTACCAGTGGTTTTGTTGGGCAATGCTGTGGTAATGTAGCTTTGAATGCAGCGCAGATGAGAAGGGAGGTGGGAAGGCCTTTGGACTCCAGGACTAGGGATCTTGAGGAAGAGTGGGTCTGTCATTTTCACCTGTGGTGAGGAAGTGGATCAATAGTAGTGCAGGTGGGCTATCTGGACAAGAAGGCTCAGGGTAAGGAACGGGAGGTAAGGAAGAAGAATTACCAACCTGTCAGGATGTGAAAGGAGAATCGGGTTATTAACACCTCTCTCCCTGTCCTTGAACTTATGCATAAGAAGTCAGAGGGAGAATCAGCAGGATAGGGGCAGGAAATAGTTCAGCCTGCAAGACTAGGACCTGGCCTCAGTTTTCAAGTGAGGCCGAGACTGTCTGTCCCTGTGTGAGGGGAAAAACAGTGCTGGGAAAGAAGTAGGAGTAGGGCATGAGGCAGCCAGGAGGGAGGGGACTCTGCCTGCCAGGGCGCAGCCTTCTCTTCATAGCTGGAGATGACTGTCAGCTGATTTCTTCGTAATCTGCTGATACATTCTTCCTCTCCTTCAGTGCTGTTCTACCCACAAGTTTATAGACTGCATCTGTTGACTACTCGCTCTCTAGCCTCATGCTAGGTTCACATACAAGGTTCCAGTATCTTTCTTACAGGCTTGTAAGAGAATCCATACGATACTGTCTAATTTAATTCCTTCTTCGTCCGTTTGTTGTTTGCAAAAAAAGGGAAATTAATGTTTTATTAAAAACATGATGTAATTTTTTAGTTTTGTGAAGTCACCCACTCAAGAAGTATGAAGTTTGTCAGTTAGAAACACCAAAACAAGCCACCTTAGTTCCAGACATAGGTTGTGTGTCTTTATCATGGGCTCTTACCAGACTTCCTTCATGTACTGGGCATGGCTCACGTACTGCAACTTACTATGTTCTTGCTTGTTCAACAGGAATCTGCATCTCTTATTAATTGCACACTCTTCAAAGGTAGCTCAAAAGTTCTCTAAAGATATTAATAGTTCTGTGGTGTTTGCAGTATCTAAATACCTCTTCCATATTAATGAAATTTGTCTGCAAAATAGCTTTTGAGATGTGTGATAGCATTCCTGTTTTAAATACGTGAAACAGAAACAGACATTTAAGATCAAATATAGATTTGAGGTGGTTATTTAGGACCTGAATACTTCAGAGCATTGTGCAGCATTCCCGATGTTCAGGGTACATTTCACGCTGACTTCAGGTCTGGCTGTGGGCTCTGAAGTTGGACACCCAGAAACTGAGAAGAAAAAAATGTTGCTGTAAAGTTTTATTGTAAGTGACCTGCTAGGCCTCTGTGCTATAGATAGAGACAGAATCCTGTTCCAGGGGCAGTATTTGATTACTTTCACAAGATCTTCCTCCTTATTCCTGTCTTCCTAATTTCCATCTTCATTTTCAGTTTCGTTCCAACTTCAGAATGAAAAAAGAAACTGGTCAGTGGGAGCTTCTTTGATCCTCGTGGCAGATCTATCTAGTAACACTAAAAAATTTGGGGAGGTTGGGTAGAAGTGTGGTGTATGATGGTTCAATGAATGCATTTTGTATATGCAAAAGCGGCTGAAACAAAGATAGCTTACTGAATTCTGGTATTTCCTAACTGCAAGTGCTTGGAAACTGCAACTTTACTGCAGTTTATTGTTAGGGGTGATTTACAGAGGTTCTGGTTTTCATGGACTTGACTGTTTGCAAGTAAAAATAGAAAATATACCTTGATCCAAAATAAAAATAGGTAAGAGCTCAGCTTATATTCCACATACTCTTACCAACCTGAACTTTTAAAATTGTGTGCGCTAAAGCGTTCTGTATGTGTACCTAAGGTTTTTGAGTACTGACCTGTTTCATCATTCCTGGATTTTCTAAGAAATAAAAATGTTTCTTCCTATAGGTTATTTTTGGTTCTTACCTTTCTGATGTAGATGAATTCCTAATAGAAACTGATCATAGATAACTTTACGAAGTTCCAGAATACCAAATGAAATTTTTTTACTAGGAATTTTAAGGAAGTTGTTGTGTCTTAGTAGAAGAATTCAGGAGTCATGAAATGGAACAGGTGATGCAAAATTGCCATGGAAGTTGTTAAAAGAAACTTTTTTTTTTTGCCTGTCTTATGACCTGTGTGTACCTATGGGCAGGCTCTATGTTTACTAAGTGTTGTAAATGTGGAGAAGTTGGTGGGAGCTAACATACTTCAGGTTATACTCATCTGCTTCTTATAGCTGCAGAGCTGCACAAAGGAAACTGCTAATATGCCATAGGAATTTGATTGGTTGCATAGTAAACTAAATGTAGGCTACATAACGTGTACCATATTGGTGTGTCTATTACAGAGCTAATTAAACTGGTTTGAGTTGACTCCTAACTTCAGGTACAAAGGAATACTCTTCTGGAAATGCTTCTTCAATAATTTTATGTATGTTTTTGTTGATCTGTTGGGATATTATTTTTGTTGTTGATGTTCTCTGCTAGTGTAGTGCCTGTAAGTAATGTTTTAATTTTCTCAGTTTATGTAAATGTTGATGCTTTATACAAATAAGTGCTGGGGGCTTCTCCCAATGGGACTGTCTGTGCCAGTAAGTCTACTTTTGACGGGGAAGTAATCCAAACATGTAATCGTAGTCTATTACTTAGCAATTCTAAACTTTCTAAGGAATACAGTAATAACTTTCTAATAGAGGATTGAACAGGCTCATTTGAATTCTGACATAAGTGATTTGGAGTGTGTGTATACAGTTTCATTAAGCATTTTGAGGGTCTGATATTTTTCTGAATATAGTTTTTCTTTACAGTTCAGAACTAGAGCTATACTTAATTAAAAAAAATGGAAGTGCAGAGAAGGTGTAGGTATTACTGTTTTATGACTATGTGGCAAAAAAGGGTTTGAGAGTGCTGTTCCATATTTACATTCATGTTTTTTCTCTATCATTTTAGAAGAACAGCTTAAAAGGTGTTTAACATTTTTTTCATAATATTATTATTGGTTTTAAACTATTGTTTCTTGCTGAACAGATAAAAGCAACTCAGTTTTCAGTAACTGGATAGACATCATGTCTCGAGCACGGCAGCCCCCACTTGTAACTGGCATCTCTCCTAATGAAGGCATCTCATGGACAAAAGTGACAATTAGAGGAGAAAATCTGGGGACTGGCCCTACAGACCTCATAGGTAAGTTGAAAAAAAAAAAAACCCCAAACTTCTTTTGAGACTGTAGAACATCACATTTAGGATATGATTAGCGATAATTTTTTTTTTTTTTGCATGGTAAAATCTATGTTGCATGGTATGAGCAATGCCCTTTTCACAAATACACACTTGAATCCAGAAATTCAGGGATGCTGCCCAATGTGTAACTAATCAGAATGACTGTACTTTGCTAGGTGAACCCTTAGCCTGACTCAACATCCTGTACTGAACACTAGCTAAGAACAAATGCCTGTGGTACTAGAAGAGGATAGATGTAATGAGATGCTCCTTTGTTACCTTCTCAGGCATTGAGAATTTCTTATCAGAAGTGTTTTCAATGTATTGAGAAAGTCACTGAGCATTGCTATTCCTTGAATTAGTCTAAAAGTCAATTTGTGTATCTGCAACAGTTAGTGTGTTCAATGATTTAGCTACACATTATGTAAAGAACCATTTCCTTCACTGTTTTGGTTTTAACGTGGTAATTTCATTTGAATCTCATAGCTCTTGCGTTGAAAGAGGGAACAAGCGATTTTCTCTCATTCTTCTGACCATACAGATCTTGATCATCACTGCTCTGTTGCCTCTTTTTCCAGGCTGAAAAGTCCTAGCATATTTAAATTTGCTGCATATATCTTGGACCTTTCTTGTTGCTCTTCAGTGAATCTCTTTTGGTTTCACTACCAATGATAGGTGAACATCTTGGTTATGTGCAGTGTTCAGGATGTGAATGCACTGTGGCATAATACTGTACTCTCACCTTTGTTTTGTATTTCTTCCATAGGATTTTTTTTTCTGTGTAACTCCTACTAAGCATCAAGCTAATGTTTTTCATTGTTCTGCCTGTTCTAGTCCCATGATTTAATGCTTGAGGGTTAGTAGTCAGTTTGAGCCTGTCATCTGTGAATTTAAGGTTTTGCCTGTGTGCATCATATCTTTGTTGAATTTCAGCTGCTGTTTTATAGCATCTATTTTATAGTGCATCCACTCAGTCTCAGAAGGTCTGTTCTGCATTTTTTCTAGCTTTAATTTATTCAGAACGTGAAGACCATAAATATCATCAGCAAACCTTGTAACCTCTTCATCTTGTCATTTATGAATGTATTGAACATAAGCGATTTCGGTATATACCCTGTGGAAACTTCCCTCAGTGAAAATACACCATTTACTGTAACCCTGTTCTATCTTTTAACAAGCTGTTTATCCACTTAAGGATCATATCCTATAGCTGCTTAATTTTCTTAAGCTTTTCGAGAAGGACTTTGTAAAATCTTCTGGAAATCCCAGTTAACTATAACTACTTATTTTTTCTGTAAGTTAAGCATATGTGTATTTCAGTATTCGTGTTAGAGCCAATTTATCTAATTTGTTGTGGAATCATGACTCCTCTGAAGTCCATTGGAATTTTGTTTGGCTTTGCTAGAAACAATATTTCATTTCATGGCTGTAAACCAAGATTCCCGAATTCCATTCTTGGCCACCACAATGAACTTTATGGCCAAGCATAAGCTACTGCAATTTTCCCCTTCACTTCAGTTTGCTGTCTCTCGAAAGAGGAAGTAGTATTTTCCTGAGCTGCTAGACAAGGATGCAGTACACTAGTGAATCTTTATTGAGAAATGATCAAATCACTGATGATGTTGTAGGTGAGTATATTTCTGTGTATTTGTGTGGTTGATGTACTTCAATATCGTCATTAGTTCATTAGTATGATCCTCTTAGAAGCGATCAGTGCTAGGTTCTTGGAAGGAAGACATCTCCTGAGCTGTGCCTCAGTATGACAGCTGATTAACTGCTAATGTTTTGTCTCATATTTTTTCAAACTAACTCTTGTAACACATAGCTGCTAATAATCTCATGCTTGGAGGTAAAAATAAAAAAAAAAGTAATGGATTGCCTTTTTTCTTTTTTTTCCTTAGCTCAATTCTCAGCTTTCTCCAGTAAGTGATTAAGGCCCCAGACATGTAAAGATTTCTTTTCATGGTTAAATTAGGCATGTAAATATTCCCTATGACTTCAGCGGACATACGTGCAAAAGTGAGCCTTTGTTTGAGTGAGGGTTTTATAAAGTTTGTAATCTGCTATTTGAGATGCATTAGAGTAAAATGAAAAGCAAGAAGCTTTTTTTAATGTGTAAACAGAATATCAAATAATAGAAGAATATGCCTTTTCGTTTCATTTAAGAGAGCCTTCCTGTAATCTATTTGTATCTTTGAGACCAAATAAACTTTTTATTTGTAACTCTATAGCTCACGGTACAAAAAGCCAAATCCAGGAGATACCTGCAACATTTATGCTCTTAAGGTTTAGTTTGTCTTTTAAGACATTTGCAGCTGTATTTTGGAGGCAATGTAAAATTGTCCCTGTAAGTTTAACCAAAATTGGAAGGTCTCAAGAAGAGAATTACTTGTGCCTATTTATTGAAAGACATATAAAGGCTGGAACCCCAGTATGATGTCCTCAAAGATCCTTGTACCATGCAACAGATTAAAAGGAAGGTTTATTTAAAGGGAAGTTGTCTCTTTTTTAAGAAAAAAATGTTGTTTCTGTACTATCAAAAGGTCTCCCCCAACATGCCTTTATTTGTCTTGTGCCATAAAATATCAATGGAGACTTCCTTTCTTTTGCATTTTTAAGATACAGACAAAGGCTGTTCCTCTCCATTTCAGAAGTGTCGGATCTTGTGATCTTGTTCTCTTGAGAGCTTTATGAACCTCTGATGAGGTAGAAAATAGTTGATACAAGGATATTTAAAACAGTTGTTCAAAAATGTTTACTCTACTAAATTGCTATAGCTCAGATACTGATTTTAAAGTACTACTTAATTTAAGCGTGAATTCAGACCTTTGAAATTCTAGGATGAAAACATCTTCATGAATGGTTCAGACAAATTCTTTCAGTTACTCTTAGTTTCTATCGCAATCTTTTTTCCTTCAGAGAATTTGCTAGCATAAAACCAAAAGAGATCTAATAATACAACCTAAGGTTAAAGCACATGCATCATAAATGTGTGGGTTTTTTTGTCGCCCTCTGAGAAATAAAAACTGACCTGGTTAAAATGTTGCAAGTAAATAACAACCAAAATACTTTTTTATTTTAAGGCTTTTTTTGTGTCTGTCCTATTTCGCCCCTCCCCCCTTTTATTCAGGCATCTTTTCAGAAACAAATGTACTGTCCTTGCTCAAGTAAAATTGCCTTCAGTTGTAATAAGTTTCAGTGCCTTTCTGGTTTTTACTTTTTTTGGTTTTCATTTTCAGAATAGTTTTTGGCAGGGAGTAAGGCATTTTTACATCTGACAACCATGAAAACTGCCAGATTTGTCTGCTGTGTAATGTGAGAGACTTAAATTGTGAGAAAAAGTAAGTGTGAAACCTTGGTACTGAGCCACATATGCTGACCCTTTTCTGTCTGTAAGTATTTTCTAAATTGGTCAGAGCTTTCTAGAAATTAAAACCAAAAGCCAAGCCAACAGGGAAGTTATGCTCTGGTACAGCAAACACACTGGTACGGCCTTGTTCTTTTGGAAGTGTTTCTGGGTAAGAGTCTTATTCAAGAAGAACCTAATGAAGTTGTTCTCCAAGTCGATACTGTAGAAATTGGGACCATGCCAATTCTTCATTACAACAAAACTCTGATTAAGAATATGGGAATTGTTCTAGATCAGAGAAAACAACCCATCTATTCCAGCATCCAGAATCCTGATCTGACCAGAATCAATCAGATTGATTGGTCAGATTGATCAGTTGGTCAGACTGATCTGACGTGAAGCCCCAGGAAGCCTTGGACATTACATTACGGAGTACCTTGACTCTTAAGTGTTAAGAGGTGTTCTTAAACACTAAAGCTTGGCATATTTTAGTACACCACAGTCTCTTCCTATGAGAGAGCTTCATGGCTAAAATATGTGGTTTTATTTCATAGTTTGTCATTTGTACTTCTGTTATGAGAAAGCTTAGAAAAGGAAGTAGATGAACATCACATGACTATTCTTTCATACAAGGGCAGTTTATTCAGCAGAATCAGTCTTGCATCATGGATTTTGTACAGAAGACATTTGAACAGAATATTTGTCAATTAATACTTTTTGACCAAAAAAAAGCCTTTTGTGTCCGCAAAAGTGCTGCTGAACAAAGAAGGCTGAAGAAATGTTCTTCATTGCGAATATTTTGCAGTTTCTTTATTTTTTTGCTATGCAAAGTCACTTAGCAAAGATTTTTTGCATGCAGTTTTGACGGAAGTTTCACGTAAGTACAATACTGAACAGCAGTTCTCTCGTGTCTTGCAGACAGAAGATCTGTTGTACAACATGAAGTACAAGTTGCAGTAGCCCATAACTAGTGGAAGAGTGAAGCAGCACTGCGTGTGTCTCATGAAGTGGCACTGGGACAAAAGACCTGAGGTCACCTAGGGAGCATCTGAAAAACATATTCATGACTCTTTCACTGTAGTTGGCTGTAAGGGACTAGAGAAGGGTCATATATTTATGTAAAATATATGAAGCAATGTGAATGTATTTGCATTACAGAATTTCAAAAGACTTCTATTCACAGTAAGGTATTTCTTTTTTTCTTTTTTCCAGGTTTAACAATCTGTGGGCACAACTGTCTGCTAACTGCTGAATGGATGTCTGCCAGTAAAATTGTGTGTCGAGTTGGACAGGCTAAAAATGATAAGGGAGACATTATTGTTACTACAAAATCTGGTGGCAAAGGAACTTCAACTGTTTCCTTCAAACTGCTTAAACCTGAAAAAATAGGTATTTTTCTTGTTCAAATTCACATTGGGCGCCTCTTAAAAAAAAAAAAAATGTTTAAAATGGATCCACCTCAGGGAAATCTTCAGTTGTCTAGAAAAAGCAGAGTATATCAATGAAATGTGCAAATATATACATAAATAAACTTATGGTATATGTGAAATTAATCCTCCTATCTCAATATCCTCATAAAACTGTCAGTGACTAGTGAAAGGTAGCCCTTTATTTTTCTGTAAGGTGTAGCACTAAACTTCTAAAATTTTAAAAAATTCATAACAGACCCAGTAATTACTCTTCAGTGTACTAGATAAATACAAAATATAAACCAGCTCATGGGCTTTACACCTAAATCCTGAGCTGACAGTTAATCCTTTAAAGAAAGTTGAGTTGTCAGTGCTGTTTCTTGTTTGTAATTCAAACCATCCTGCAAGACAGAAAGTCGTAAGTATTCCTCATGAGATGCTTAACCAACAATGATGTTGCCAAGCAGTCTAGGATCTCTCCTTAATCTAGAATCCAGTCTAAATACCTTCCGGATTGAAAATGTTTCAGAACACCTCCAATGATGAAGTTGGATAGTTATCTTTTCTAACATAGAGGTTTCCAGAACTATCTTAAGCTGTTGTTCTCTGCGGTTGTGACAGTTAAATAATGCATAATTTGTCCCAAGCTGTGCTAAGATGTTAATAATAGAAAGGTGAGTCAAGTGCAAATGTTACACAGTGAAGCTTTTGGTGATGGGAGGGGAGAATGGATATTTTAAAAAATGGGTAAGTGTGGGGGTGGGGTAATTTCTGATGTTGAGTATCTGATGGGTATGTTAAAGAAGAACATGGCCAAGAGTATGGCTGGCTGCATTTTTGGCTGAGGGCCAAGACCTATTGTGCCTCACCTTTATGCATTGTCTGTGCTAAGGCTTTGGAAACAAAGTCAGTCCTGTGTCCATTGAGTCATCCATCTTGGCATGTGGCCAAAGTTCACTTACTTTTTGGTTAGTGAGTGGCACAGAAAAGGGATCTTCCCTAAAATATGCAAATAAGAAGACCTCCAGGTAATTGCTCATTTTGAAAGTAGTAGATGGCGAGGTTTGGACAGATACCAAAATACTTGGAGGAATGAAAAATACTAATACTCTGTGATCAGGAAAATGCTCTTAATGTACATGAAACTGCGCACTCTGTAAGAGGTAATGTTTGATGACCAGCCATGAATACCTTCTCAGCAGCTATAATAAAATAATTTAGCATAATTGCATCCAGGTTGTTTTGCCATGTATCTTCCAATATATTACCTAGGCATGCATTTTATATTTATGAGGATTTTTCAAATTAATTCAGTATGTTAGAAGTTGATGGCACTGGACCGCCCTTGTTGTTTTAAGGATCTGCGCTTTGTTTTCTCTAGGTATCTTGGATCAGTCTGCTGTCTGGGTGGATGAAATGAATTATTATGACATGCGCACTGATAGGAACAAAGGGATTCCCCCCTTGTCCCTACGTCCAGCTAATCCGCTTGGTATTGAGATAGACAAGTGAGTAGCAAATGCCTTTAATCCACTTTTTTAGTGGTTTTCTCTATATGTGCCTTTGTGAATTCCAGAAAAGTTTAACGGTTTACAGGGCAGGGAAAGATTTAAAAATACATACATATATTAGCTGCTGGTATGCTACTTGGTACTCCAAGGGCTTGTTGGTGCACATTCTATCCTGCTTCATAATCCTCATTTTTGATAATCAATTAGAACTCAGATAATCTAAAAGCCTGATATATTGAACCCCAGTGATGCTTAGATTTTGAGGACTGGTAAATAACCTAAGACTTTGGATTTATACATTGTAGTTATGGAACACTGACTGTTGCATTTGAGTTTCATGAGACTTTTAAGGCTGTTTAGCTTGCTATCTGTTGGTAAAATTGCACCGTAAAATGTGATTTATTATACCACATCAACTAGTTCATTTTACTGAAATATTAATACTTTTTTCCAACCCACAGAATTCTTTACTTTTGTTCATAAGTATGGTGGAATTTGATATTTTTTTTGAAATAGAAATGTTATAGTGAGTGATAAACAGAATTAGAGGGCTTTAAATGGGACACTCTTAGGGCTCCAAACCTGACCAACTCCTAGAAATAGCATCAGGAATAATATTTCTCTTGATCAGGATACCAGCTCTACCAAAATTGAAGACTATTTAAAATTAAACTATTACTAGGGGTCTCTTCTGCTGAATACTCTGTGAGGAGGAGTGCATTGGAGATAATGTGCAGTGTCCGTTGTTACCTTGTTCTGATGGGGAAACTGCACTTTGCCAAAATCTGTATGGGATTTCTAGTGGATCCATCATCAGCTTCCCAGCCTCAGGCTGTGCACTGCTTTCCTAGTTTGAATATGAGTTTTTCTTTCTTTTCAAAATGCTAACCCAATTTTTTTGTAATAGGCTGAAGATTTCGTCTCTAAGTATTTTTCTCCAGCCTCTGATGTAACTTTTGATAGATACTTCCTTCATCTTTGCCAGTTTTCCAACCCAGTTAAAATGTGGTCTCTAGGACTGTGGACAGTATTCCAGTGTCTTACCAGAAGACTTCCTGTCTCTCCTCCACTCTCCCTCCTGTTTGTAAATTTAAAAAAAAAAAAAAAAAAAAAAAATCTGTTTTACCACAGTGCTGCACTGGCAACTAGCAGTGAGTGGCTTGTTAGCTGATTCTCTTGACTTGCTACTTTTGCTGCTGGCATGCTTGCCCATTATTCTGTAGCGATGGCCTGCATTCCTTTATCCTAGCTACATCTTTTTGTATTTGATAGTGTTTCTCTATTTGCTGGTTCTTTGACAAGTCTGTCTTCTCAGTCCAAATGACAGTCTCTCTTCTTAATATTTTTACCAACTATTTATAAAAAAATATTGGTGATAAAACTATTATTGGTAATGATGCAAACACTGATGAAAGAGTAATGTGGGCTTTAGTAAAACTTTACCTACAGGTGTTCTCAGGTTTGCTTCTCCATGGATTGAGTTTTTTTGTTTGCAGTTAGTTCTTTAATCCATGTGATATATTCTGTTGACATCGTGTAAAACTAAGTTTTAATCAATCCTATGGTAGCAAGTCTCCTTTAAAATGACAATATATTATCTTTGTCTGGTTACTTTTTTCAATGAAATACTTAAAGCCTATAGAATATGTTCTCAAACATTGTATGAAACGGTTTTAATATCAGCCAGCCACAACTAATTTTCTCTGCTTTAATTCTGTATTTGTTGAACCCTGCAACAGCTCTTCCATTATTTTATCTGGGATTTAAGTCAAGATAACTAGTTCTCTTGCATAGTCCTCTATCCATATGTATCTCACAATACTTCTTTCTGTAAATACGACGGTTGTGACAGTTACTTTTAATTTGTCCTTATTTTAACAAAACTTCTAATGTAGTATTTGACTTAATAACCAAAATTGATAGTTCTTACAGTTAAGACAGTGGCAATGTGATAGATTAAGAATTATCTTCCAGAAACCTTAACAGCATTAGTTTAGGATTTGTTTAATTTAGAGTCATCTGTTTGGATGTTTGTTAAATAGGAAGCCAACGATACTACTTTTTAAATGTTTCATCTGAAAGCATTAGAATATATTATATTAATGAAACCTCAGATTTTGTGTGAAAAAGAAATAAGTCAGAAATATGTAAGTACAGATAGGAAATAACTTTTTGTGAGCGGGAGAAAATAGGCAAATACTTGGGCAATCATAATATCAAGCCTAGTTCATTGTTCATTAATCTCCAAGTTCACCTCCAAATTCATTAGAGGTGAAGTGTGAAGATTATGGCACGCACTGGTGTTGAAAATGACCAATTTGAGAGAAGGAACACTAGTCAATATAACAAGTAATTGTGTAAAGAGATTGAGGGGTAAGTTGTAGAGAGGGGAGAGAGATGGGGAAAGAGAGGAAAAGCCTGGTCTGCCCTTGTGCTGTGGGTGACAGCATGGTGTTAATAGCTATGACTATAGATGGAACATTCTGTGTTTAAAAAGTGCCTCCCCAATGGAAAAGTTTTCATAATTTGCTTGAAAAATTGGAGCAATGCAATGTTTACTTTTATAAAATAATCTCTAAATACCTTATAGTTTAACTGAACTCACATGTTTGCAAATACTTGACGTATGGGATGGATAAGTAATGAGGTGTACAAGGTAGTGAAAAAAGGCAATTATAAGTTAGGAAAGGGAGTGGATAAGCAAGATATCAGCATTAACTGTTACTAGGCATGGGAATAATTTGTCACTAGAAGTCATATGGAAGTTAGAATTTTGCAATCTTTAAAATAAAAGAGAGCCTAATATGGAAGCATTCAAAAAACGGGTAAATGTGGCACTCTGGGACATGTGGGCATGTGGTGTTGGGTTGATGATTGGGCTGAGGATCTTAGAGATCCTTTCCAATCTTAATGATTCCTAGTTTTTACTTTCATTATAAATAACCCAGCCACCAAGCCAGGAAACATGAAATTGCTACTCTACCCTTAATTGGTTTAGTGCTGGACTTGGTAATGTTAGGTTAATGGTTGGACTGGATGATCTTAAAGGTCTTTTCCAACCTAAACGATTCTATGATTCTATGAAGAACAGTTGTGTATACAAGGAGATGGGACTCTGCAGCATAATGGGTCTCTCCTTCTTAATACCTTTGGCTTCTTATTTTTAGATGTGTGCAAACTGAGATGTATTTTAATTTTGAAGCTGAAGCGTTTTGCATTGGTATGACTTGGTGGGATTTGCAACCCTTGTAGCCTGATGGCTGATAAGGAAGGGAAGGGAGTGCCTTGTATTGGTTATGCAAATAGTGGTAAACAAAAGAAACATTTCAAGAGAGGACCAGGGAGAAAAACAGATGTGAGAAAATAGGATAGGAGTAAGCCAGATGGGAGAGCACACTGAAGAGAAGGCAGGAAGTGGGTAGAGTGCAGACTGAAAGACAGAAAGAAATCTTCCCTCTAGAAGGTGTTTGTCAGTCAATCAGCAAATGATACAGAAAAGACAATCTGTAGCATGGCAGAGAGTTAGATCGCCTATCTGTCGTGATTTTTATTAGTAGTATTTTTTAACATGGGTTATGCTTAGTTCTAAAAGTTCCTTTTGTGGGTTTTTAGACATCGCTTATGGTTCTTTGTCCAATTAAAATGCATCTATTTAATTTAAAATTTATTTAAAATTAATTTAAAAATTAATCAGCTTTTGAATCATTTAGGTGGGTGCTTCAAGGTGTTGCAAGTGGGATGTACTAGAAAAAAGATCCCATAAGTAACGAACAGAAATGCTTTAGTACAGCATTTCATTAAGCTATTAGGCAAGCACAGGGACAAAAAAATATTTACTCTGACTAAGTAGAGTTAAGATTGGAGTTTAATTGGGAGTGACTGGGATTTAAGTGAACAAAAGGTTTGAACGGTGAAGTGAGGGAAATAGATAACAGTGGGTCTAACACATTCTATTAATAATTAGAATACTGCCTGTAGGTATATTGTAGGAGTAATATATATACTCAAAATATGTACTGGAATTCTCTTTTCATACTCAAATGTTGCAAGGATGCAAAGTAAGAACTATGGACACACACTCATCCTCCTGGTTGTTTTTACATAGTCAAGATATTTTAAATGTTATATGTATACACTGTGTGCAAGCCATCATCTTTCAGCCTGCAAGTTTAACAAGTAGTAAATATACGTAATTTCTGGCTGGTAAGTTCTTTGTATTTTCCAAGAATTAATTGCTGTTCCTGTGCTGTACAGCTAAGAATCTCAGTTGCTAAGTAATAAAATCATTTTCATTTTAATGAAACTTGAACTTGCTGGTTATTATGTTCAGTGGTGATCCTTAAAGTTACCAATGTATTCATAGAAGAGCATTTGCACACGTTTGTTCTCCTGCCTTGCTACCAGTTGTTTGTTCATCTTTTAAAACACAGAACTGATCCAATTAGATGAGGGTTTTTTTACATTGCTATCACTTAGTGCATATTGTGTGTATGCTATGAAGTATTTCGTTTACACCAGAAAATAGGTATTTAAAATATTTAATCTTTGAGTTCTAGGTTTTTTAGTTTTCAGGGTGGAGTAAAGACCGATACAGAGCTTTAGTTTTCTATCACCATCTTTATGCTGGTTTTAAGTGCAAAGCAGATCTGTGCCACCTTCTTCCCCAAGGAATATTTCCGGCTGTGGTGTTATGCAGATGTAGCTAGAAACCCTTACAGAACGCTTAAATAACTTGCAGGAAGAAAAAGAGTATACAGAGTAGTCGCCTCAGTCTGAGAAAGTGGAAAAGTTGGTATGAAGATGCTGACATTAACAGCGATGTTTCAGTACTTGGGGCTGGTTTTCACAGTTTAGAGCTGTTACAAGAGCAGGTTGGTAGGTTATGTCCTACCAACATAGGATTGTTCAGGATTTTGAACAGTTCTGGGAGAGAATGTGATGCTTGTTTCATAATGGCACTGGTTGAAATCTGTTGGTGGAAAATTTAGATCTGCATA